CGCGCTGCCGGCGGTGCGGACCGGTGCGCGCTGAGGTCGTGATCAACCTCGTGGGGGAACTAGTCGTGTGTTGAGAGATGAATTTGACACGGATTCGTGTGGCTCTGCAGAGGGTTTTGCCGCGCCAGTGTCTTCCAGCACGCCACGAGGGTTGCTAAGGGGGCATGTCCTATCCAGTAGCTCTGCATGTGTGTCCCCAGCACATGCGTATCCTTAGCAGACTGCACTGCTGTGCCCACTTTTAACCATTTTTGTCATAACGATTATACCTAAGACAAAGATTTCAGCTTTGATTCACAGTCTACAGTTTAATGGCTATAAGACAGTATGGTAATTTATACCGTGCTCACTGAAATCTGCTCCTGCTTTTCCCTTTTATTTCACCAGATCCCGCTAGTGTTGGATGAAGAAGCCAGTGTTTCACACGTGGAGTTGCTGTACTCGGTCATGTAAGCAGATACTTCTCTTGGCAATTACCAGCGTTAGTGATATGAAGGATCTTATTTACAAGTTCCTTTATTCAGGTCTGTATATGCAACCCCAGGACTTTGGCATCGAAACACGAGCTATTTCCAAGAATGCTTGGAGTGTGTAAGCAGTATTTTTTACATTAAAAAAATTCCAGTTTTAGGGATATGTGATACAAAACTGGAGCTGGACTTTCCAGTTCTGTAAACGTGCACAAACTGGGGGAGGTACAGGGGGTCTGGCCGCAGGGGGACAGATGGTGTCTTTTGCTGTCACCAGTGTAATGGGGAAGAAAGCAAGACCCAGTGGGATCCCGGGCCCCTAAAAGTCCTGCTTTTAATCTCTTTGCTCACGTACCTGCCTTTCCGCAGCAGAAAGTTCTCAGATTCCCTGGGGTTCCAGTGAGCTATCTGGGCTGGTCCCCATAAGCTCTGCTGGGCTTTCTGGTCAAAAAGGCCTCTGTGAACTCCCCGGCTACAGCAGAGTGCTGGGGCCTTTCCCATATTTCAGATCGTACCTCTTCAAGCCGGTCCCTATGACCCTGCTTTTCTGTGGTCTCGTGGTAAAGCGGGAGTGTAAATGCCTGGCACTGTGCACACTTCTCATGCACCCCCAAAATGAGTATCTTGCCAATATCCTGAGTCCCAGTGGAAGAAGACAAGTGGAGGTAGCACAGTGAGTGAAATTGGAGCATAGAGACTTTCTTCTCTTGCAGTTTTATTTCACTTCAAAAAAATAGCATCTAGAGTGGGACATCATGTGGGAAATCAGGCAGGAAGGGCCTGCCTTCAGTTCCCACGATGGGAATTCAGAAAGATTTGTAGGGCTGGTCCTAAGTGACTGTGTCTTCCTCCGCCTCTCCCCTGCCCTCCTCTCCCTTTGAAGTGTGGACTTTGTAGATGACAGCACAGACGCCAGCCAGCCAGGCTGCCACAGTGCCGGCAAAGAATATGCAGAAGCCAATGAGACACAGAAAGATGTAGTCTCGCTTGTACAGCTGGGTCAGGCAGTTGAAGTGGAGCTGTGCCTCCACTGCAGGCATTTTCAGGGCATGTAGGCCTTCTGGGGTGTAGCAGGTGATGTTGTCAGCATCTGCAGAGGGAAAAGCAGAAGCAAGACTCTCTTGCCTGTGTCTTAAGCATTAATGAACTGGAGTCCTGCTAGAAAAATGGTGGAGCAGTTTGCTGAACTCCTGAAAAATGTCTACAGACTTCACACCTCTCCCCCTCCGTGCCTTAGGTGAAATCAGACAGGCAAACGCTTGCCAAACCCTTGCCAAACCACAATTGCCGGGTTGCCAGAACGATTTCTGTGGTGTTGCCTCCATACGAAAATATTGCCCATCCGATTATGCCACTGTGGAAAACTGCTGTCCCTGCACTGTTCATCTCTGCTGATTGAGCACTTTTATTTTAATATAAGAGCACTTGTGTGTGGTTTTTTTAATCCCAAACACCTTCTGAAGTGACATAGCCTAAATTATGCTGGAATAATGAGGCTTGGGTGCAGGGAGTCAAGTTTGACAACTAGGGTGGTTTGCAGTTAGGCATAGCCTCACCTACTCTGTGAGAGAGGAATAAGAAACTCATCAATGATTCAGTTCCACTGAAATAACGACTATACCCTGTCGTATTCTAATATACACAGTGATAAAACAGATGCTGGCTTTTCCCTCTGAAGTTAGTGAAGGCTGAGCATCGTAAAAAGTACCGTCTCCTTTTGGTGTCTATAGAAGCACAGTGTGCCCTCAGCCACAGCCCTTTCCTTCCCCTGCAGGTTTTGAACTCCCTGGGGCCAGAGTTACTGTGCCAGACACAGGCTGGTCACTGCTTGATGCACTGGATAGATGGGCCTGAGGGAAAGGGAGCAGTGGAGAGGAACAAGCTACAGGGGCTTTATGTTACATTACATTACATTATATCATATATTACTGAGTGATATAGCTGCAGTGGTTGTTCATGCTGGTATCTCTCATTGTCCTGAATATAACTGGACAGCTTTTATCTATTACCCAAATCCATCTAGATTTGGGCAACTTCATGTCAGCACCTAGACTGCACAGATCCAGCTGAGCACAAAACACTGATGCAATGATGTTCCGTGAAGCAGCAGCAGCTTTTTAAAGGCCGGGATGGGGATCTGCTTGCAGCAGATGTCAGGGCTCTGTCCCAACATCCCTTTGCTCCGGAGCTGCCAGCTCCTGTCACAGCCCTCGGTTAGGGCCACCTCATCCCGATGAAGAGGGAGCTGCCTTTCCTACCTAAAGGCAGGCAGGTGTTTGTGATACAGGGTGTCCAGCCTGTGTACACTTACCAGCAGCATGAAAGCTTTGCACAGCTCTCACACCAGTCCCACGAGACACATGGCCTCCTGCGGACTCGCCCACAGCATCTCGCCAGGACACAGCAAAGCCCAACACAGCAGGGAAGTGGAGCAGCCTCCACAGGCTCACTGGTTTCTTTGGCTTTCCCATTTTCCACAGCGTGGTGCAGGGATCCATACTCATACACCCAGTCTTTGCTGCTACTTCCTTGTCTACTCCTACCCTCTCAAATTGCCTGCAGTGAGCTTTATTTTCCTGTTCCGGAGTTCAGTGTGTTGTCTCCAATCTTACTGATAAGAACGGTACTTTTTTACACTGTTCCGTAACTGCCTTTAACATGTATGAGGAAAATAAAAAACTTCACTGTCTATAGGGAGCTTACGACATCTAATAAGACACACAGATGTCCTTAATTCGGTTTTGTCCTAACACCAGCTTCCATTTGCCCTTCCCTTTTCTCCCCTGGGGCTCTTTTGTGCCCCTTTCTTATTCGACAGACAGACTTTCTCAAACAATTCCTCTTTCGCAGCTCTCTCTCACCATTGTGTCCTGCATTACTGAAAACCAGGCTTTCTTCATGAGTATGTGTTGTGCTGTGTTCCTTTTCAGTTTGGAAAATCAAGTTCATGTGCTGCAGCTGCAGAACAAAGCTTTGCCCTTGGGACCAGTGTTTTTCTGGGAAAGGGAACTGGTGATTATCCTGCCTCATGAACACTTGGTGTCCACGGCCCAGTTGTAGAATCTCTCAATATGGTGGGAAATAGACGATTTTGGGATCCCAGATGATGTAAGGAAAGAAGTCCTGGAAACCCTGTTTTCAAGAAATGGCTTTTATTCAGAATCAAGCCGCACTGTGCTGCTGCAGCCCATGGGACTCAGTGCTCACCTGCATTGCATTTCTTGTAGTGGAAAACTTAAAATAAAAGAGAGCCAATTTGCTCTGGGGTGCTGGAGGAAGAGTGGGAACATATGGAGCCTCCCAGCCATAAGGATACAGATGCTTTTCTGAGTGCAGCTTGTGTTCTGTTTCACTCTGACCATCAAATGTCAGCTGGGACCCAAACCAGAGCTCCCATGGGAACAGCAAAATATCTTTCTCTGACTTCTGAGCATTGGGTCACAGTCCGATACAGAGGATCAGTCAAATGTACCTGCTCTGTGGGCTGAGGAGCACTGTGACAGCTGGAGGTTGCAGGATTTGTAATTTTTATCTGTCCTAGCACAACAGCTGCTGTGCTCTTAAGGCAAAGGGCATTGTGTTCACTCTTCATGTACAGAAATGGGTCAACGGGGAGCAGGGTGTGATCACAGCCCCATGGAAGTCAGCAGCTAAACTCTTACTGGCTTCCACACTACCCAAACTTTTCCTGGATGCCCTGTCAGTGAGAGATGAGAGCAGAAGAGGAGCTGCCTAGCTTTCAACCCAGCTTTGTTTTCAGCATTGAGCATAATTGCACAAATGAGGTCTGCCTGCCAGGCATGTTGTGCAAGAAGAGGCTAGCAGGAGGTGTTGGAGGTGAAGGGGACACTGGCTGAACGGTGCAGAGCTAGGGCTGGAGAGGCTGCCCCGAGCAGGTCAGAACAGAGGCAGGAGAGCGTTTCCACAGAGAGGTGGGTTAACTGATCGCTACGGACACGCTGGTACTGCAGCAAACGATCAGAACAGATGGAGACAAGGCAGGAAATTCAGAGCAGCAGCTTTCCCAGCGCAGATTTCCCCAGAGCCACACTGGGCTCCTCGTTCTTGGCATTGCAGCCACAGGGTGCTGTGATTCGTGGGCACAGGGACACCTCCTGAGGCTGGAGCCAGGCATTTTAGAGCAGCAGCAATGTCCTAGCTACAGGCTACACTTCCCTGACTGTCCTGAGGATGTGAGCAAGTGTGACTCTCTGTGGGTGGAGTGCGTGTAACCCAGCTGCTCAGATCCATGTTTTGTGCAACACCAGAAGATGGGACCCACAGTCGACATGCAGTGGCACAGCCCTGTGAGATGAAGTTTTGGGGAAGAGAACAGAGGGGCCTCTCCCTTCCACACAGATCTGCAGGAGCAGGGAGGAGAGAAGTCCTGGTCACACAGCCCTCACCTGGAAAATGAACGTTGCTCTCTGTCATCCAGGTGATGAAGTCCAAAAAGGAACAGTTGCAGTGCCACAGGTTGTCACTGAGCCCCAGAAACCTCAGGTTGGGCAGGTCCCGGACAGTGCTGGTGTCCAGGAACGTTAAGCCCGTCCGGCTCACATCCAGGTGCCTCAGCCAGGTGTTGTTGGCGAAAGCATCCTTCTCTATGGTCACAAGTTTGGGATTGTCTGACATCTTCAGCACCACCAGGCTGAGGAGGTGTGAGAAGGTGCTGAAGGTGACCTGTGTGACGTTGTTGAAGCTGAGGTCCAGATAGACAAGCTTAGCCACACCAATGAAAGTGAAATCAAGGTCATCCCCCAAGAGGTTCTTCCTGCAGTCCAGATAGACCAAGTCAGCCAAGAAGCTCAATTCCACTGCTGGCAGGTATGAGACGTTGTTTGCCGCCAGAATCAGCTGCCTGGTGTCCAGCGGGATGGCTGCAGGGAACTCCTGCAACTGCTGCCCTGTGCAGTTCACTTCCAGGTACTGACAGCTACACCTGCTTGGGCAGTTGATCCTCTCTGATGCCATCCCCATCCCCAAAAGAAACATGAGGCTCAGGGGCCACGGTCTACCTGAAGGAGACATGGTCTAAGACCTTCCAGGCCGCTCAGCCCATTGGGGACTGCGAGCAGCCCTACGGAAGCTGCGTTACTGTCACAGCCATGTCGAGGAGGTGTCCAACTGCAAGGCTGTCAGGAAGCACTTTCTGTCTGTAACTCACCTGACTCCTTGGCAGAGCGCCCAGCTGGAAACCGAGCCCGGTTTCTACATTGGCAAGTGCAGAACAGTGGCTGGAACATCTCCATGTCGCACTCGGTGCCACATGACACCTCTGTGATGTCAACGGCTTGCAAAAGCTGCCCAGCTTCAGGGACAGTGCCGTGACCTCACTGGCAGAGTGGGAGCTTTCAGCTGAGTGGACATGCAGGGAAGACGTGAATTGGATGAGAGCATCAAAACTGTGCTGGGCAAGTGTGAACAGTGCAAATTTTGTCACAAATGGTGTCAAACTGCAAGAGGTGGTCACTTGTACTGATTAAGCAAGAGAGCCCTGCTGCACTGGCTTGGTTTTGTCTCCTTTCAGGCAGCAGGAGAAGGCAGCTAGGGAGGTTCTTCCAGAGGCATTTTTACCGAGGACAAGTTTTCCAAAGACGCCTCAGCTCCCTCAGCTCCCTCTGCTGACTTGCCATGCTGTTCCTCCGCCTGCCCACCCCTCTGCAGGAGGACCTGCCCTGCCCCCGACAGAGGGCTGCTGGTTGTAGGTGCCCGTGCAGCGCTTAGCACGCCAAGCCGGCCTGCTGGCGACCTTCCAAAGCCCCGGGGCTCTACAGCACGGGGCCCGCCCTGACAGCGGTTGGCGCTCGCAGCCCACGGAGCCACCCCGCGCTCAGGCTGGAGGCGGCACCTGACATGGCGGTGGGAGCTGCGGAACCTCACAGCTTGACAGGGGCGAGGCCGCCGTCGCCGCT